GACGTAGTTTCCTCTTTCAGTTGCTTTAATCCCTTGCCCTGTCCTTAGAGAAGTGAAAACTATTTTGGAGAACCCATCTCATTTCCACATGCTTTTTTATTACTTGATCCTATCTTTCTTCCCCAAAGCCTAAGAAAAAGGCTTGGGGATAGCTTGGGAAGCTGAGAGAGGAAGGATGAGAATGGAGGGAATGGTGTAACCATTCCATTTCCTGTTCACCTCTGCTGTAGGCTCTATTTATCCTGATCAAAGTAAATTTGCCTTTTATAGAATTCTCCTCCTGGAACTTTTTTATGTCCCATCATGGTAAGAGTATGAACAGGATAGACAAGATAATGTGAATGACGAAATGTTCAAAACTCCACAACCCCTACGCTGTTACCAATTACTTAACATGTAAGTGTGGTTGAAGTGAAGGAATGTGTCAAGCCAGGAAATGTCATGAAGTAGAGGGACTACGATGTTCGATGATATACTCTGAATACTTTTTAATATCATACTCATTTTCCGGTAGATTTTAGAAATGAGGAGGGCTATCCTTGCTTTCTTTGTTACTTGAACGTTGATAGACCTACATGACCTATTAAACAAACTGCCAGTTTAGGATTTTTCCTTCTCCTCATCCCATATCTGATCACCAATCTAATTCTGCCCATTCTCCCTACCATAGCACTAACTCAATTTTGGCCCTCATCACAGTACGGACAAATCCTTTTGTTCTTGTATTATTTCCCAGTTACTTTGCAAGTGCCTCATGGATAAAGATCAGCTTTTATCTATCTTTGCTGTCTCCAGAAAGCCAGCACAAGGCCATATAGAAATGGGAAGAAAATCAATGTCTATTGATTTCTTGTTGATATTTTCTATTCTTCTTTTGTTTTTAGAGTCTGAAGTGAAGATATTTTGCTCTAAAAACATATTGGGCATCCTTGGCTTCTCCTCTGTCATCGCTGTGATAGCACTGCTCGCTCTGGGGCTGACCCAGAACAAACCACTGCCAGAAAATGTTAAGGTAACTCAAACCCCTGTGTGTGTGTGTGTGTGTGTGTGTGTGTGTGTGTGTGTGCACGCACACACATGTGTTTGAGGGGCCCTGGGGGGGCCGGAGGGAAAGTGAGGTTATGGTAAATCAGAGCATACAGTAGAAGTTGCGGTTCTGGAAGCCCAGGAGCAAGTCAATCTCCGTGGAACTAGGCAAGTAGAATGGCAGCCGCTCATTCTGAAGGAAAGAATGCCTTGAATCAATTAGTGGTGGGAAGATGATTGTCTCTGATTGTTCAGCAAATTGATTAAATCAATATTCTAATAGAGACAATGCTTTTATTCACCACATCCAGATCTGTGATATACTGTGCTGGTATTCTACGATCTAGTGCTATCTCTGCTTCTTACTCACTGTTTCATTGTGGAAACAGTGAACTCTTTGTTTATTGAACACTGCATTCTTTGTTCTTTTTACTCCATTATTATTTTTTTAATTTTTTGGCTGTGTTGGGTCTTCATTGCTGCACGCAGGCTTTCTCTAGTTGCGGTGAGCGGGGGCTACTCTTAGTTGCGGTGCGCGGGCTTCTCATAGTGGTGGCTTCTCGTTGCGGAGCATGGGCTCTAGGCACGTGGGCTTCAGTAGTTGTGGCACTCAGGCTCAGTAGTTGTGGTACGTGGGTTCTAGAGCACAGGCTCAGTAGTCGTGGCACACGGGCTTAGTTGCTCCACAGAATGTGGGATCATCCGGGACCAGGGCTCAAACCCATGTCCCCTGTGTTGGCAGGCGGATTCTTAACGACTGCGCCACAAGGGAAGTCCCCTTACTCGGTTATTATCACTATCACCAAAGTTATAAAATTTATTAGACAGCTCTGTATAAAGCACTTTGGGAGACAAAGATTGTGGAGAGGACTTGTTCCTCATCTCCAAAATATTAAATCAATTCTAAAAAGACCCCAGAGAACACATACATGTATCAAATATAGTAATTTGAAATGAATTCATGGATGGACAGACTTCTTGTGAAATTTCCACATTTGAAGAGCTAGTTAGTATCATTAAAAATAATTAGGGTCATTAACTCTGCTGTGATTTATTTCTGCTTCCTTTCAAATTCATCAAAGTAGAATTTCAGAGGCATGGATAGCTCACTAATACCTTGTAATATGGTCATCATTTTATTTAATCCATTAATTTAGAAACATATGGTAAGTTTAAATTTGTATTGCAAATACACTAATGTTAAACTTTCATTTGAATTATAATAAATAAATCTTCAAGGGCCAAGAGACCGATATGCTAATGAATGCATACGTACACGTGGGCAGTGACATATCCAGAAGTTAACTTGACTACAGAGGCCCTGGAATACATATACAGAAGTATATGTATTTTTGCATTTGAAGATACCAAACTGTGAGCCTGGAAAAATGGATGCATATGCCAGGCCTCTGAAACTATTGCCAACCCCCCAAACCATTTGCTATATAGCAGAGGCCTGGATATTACATTGGCACCCGTTTGCCACACAGATTCAACCCAGTGGGACTGTGCACAGCAGTCCCTTTGTCAGCACAGAAGGCTGATACTGTCTCATTGTCAATGGTCTCTTGCCTTTTAATATTGAGTGATGTTGGCTCTCCTGGCAAAACTTCACTCACAACTGAAGGCTCATGACATCTTGGTTTTGCTATTTGTTTACCAGCTCCAAAAGTACATGATTGCCTTCTTGATTTGACCTTTTTATATGTTCATTATTGCATCACTGGAGAGGGAGACTGCCTAGGAGGCAAAATCCACGACAGACTTAGGCTCTGTGTTCTCGGTGAATACTTGTGGTTGTGGATGACCTTCCGTCATTCATGACGGTTGTCTTCAAGACTGCCGTGATTCTATTATTGTGTTTGCCTGGAAAAACGGAGCAAGGTCTTTGGCATCTGAAGTGTATCTTTATAGCAATGTCACTGGCTTGATCCCACTAGGACCCTCTGAAGAGCCGTGGAGAAAGCACTTCAGAATGATGTACCCTAGAGATTTATCTCCTGGTTCTCATCCCCTGTTGGTCAAGGGTCGTCCCAGAGGTTGTTAACTCCCTGGCACTTCCAGTTTTGCACGTGTGTCAGAAGGGCTATGTGGGTACCACAGGTGACCTACTAGGTGGTAGGAGAGAAGACCCTGAGAAGAAATAGAGAGATGAGAAGGTACAGGTGGAGCTGGAGTAAGAAGGTTGGTCAAGGACATGTGAAGTGGCCACAAGAGGTATCTGAAGCATCACTATACTTATTGCTTTTTGTGGGGGGAGAGAGTCGTTTGTACAAATAGTTTCACAACAATAGAGACATATTAATACAGAGGTAGGTGCAGTGCTATGGCAGCCCAGAGGAAGGAGTCACCAATTGTGCCTGGTCACATGAAGACTTCACAGAGGCGGCAGTCTTGGGGCCAAGTAATAAGGAATACTAAGGAGTTTCCCAGGAGGTGAGGTAGGACATGTTCTTTACAAAGACCATACCATGTGACATGTTTCAGAGTGGCAGCCTAAATTAGCAAGTGATCTTGGGGCATCACCAGCAGTTCAGTATGGCTGGAATATTAAATATGCGGCAGGAAGGAATGGTGGGAGAGGAGACTTTAGTCTGAGCTTAGTTTGCCTAGCTCAGGAGTGGACGTCTCATCCATTCAACTCTAGTAGTGCTCAAGATTGGCTCCATATTAAAAGCACCTGGGAAGCTTTTTAAAAATACTCATATCTGGGCCCTACTCTGGGTCAATTAAATCAGAATCTTTGGGGTGAAGCCCGGGCACTGGTATGTTTTAAAAGCTTCCCAGGTGATTCTAATGAGCAGTCATGCTTGCCAACCACTGCTTCGAAGGTTTCAAACAGGAAGGCTATGCCCAGATTGTGTTTCCAAGATTCCTCTTGGCTGCAGAGCAGATTAGAGGAGGAGAGACCAGTTAGGATCTTCCTGACATTGTGCAGACAAGGCAGTTGAGCCTGGAACTAAGGCATTGTCTGTGGAATTAAGGCATTAAGGAGATAATGTGAGAGACACTTAGGTTGACCAGATCTTAGTGATTAGATTCCTTAGAGGACCTTTTAGGATAAAGATGGAACACGTTGGGATGTAATGTTGAGAACAACCTCTGCATGCTTCTGTTTAAAGAGGGTGGTGGCCATAAGCCCCTCTGTGGAAAGACTTTCAGCTGTCTCTCTACCCACTGCCTCTGATTCTTCATCCCTGTCTTATTGCAGGGATAATTATTCTGTCTGCTCAGAGTGTGACACAACATGGGCCATGGGTTCACACTGCCTGGGTTTAAACCTCAACCCTGCTCTTACAGTCACAGGGCATAACTTCTCTGAACCCCAGTTTCTCCATTTGTAAGACAGAACTGATAATTGATATCTCATAAATTACCGTAGGAATGAAGTGGGATAAAGTAAATGCAGTCTGAAGTATGGAATAGGATGCTGGCCCATTGCAGATACTCAGTGGTTGGTAGCTCATGTATTATCATTATCATCTTTGTAGCCTATATGTCTGGTGACAAATTGCCACTTATCTTTTTCCCTGCCTCTTCCCGTCTGACTTGCCCTCTTCTAGCCCAGTTCTGGTCAGCCCTCCAGTCCTGAAGATCCAGTCTTGTCGTCTTCCTGCCTGGTCCAGTCTGGGTTCAGCCTTGCTGGGGAGGTGGTGCCCTCATGCCTGGGCCACATCTGGCAAAACATAGGAAGTCTTTATTGTACTGATGAGTCTACTTGCCCAGCTACCCAGGTTGTAAGCATATTGAGGACAAGGACTGGGTTTCATTTGTCTTTGCCTATTTTTTAATACTCTTTCACTCAATTTATTCATTTAATAAATAGTCGTTGACCGTCTACTTTTGGCCCTAGGGATACAGCAGTGAGCAAGACTGGCAAAGTCCTGACCCTCATGAAGGTTATATTCTAGTGGAGGAGATAATCGTTAACCAGATAGTCACAGAATAAATGTTAAAATATGACAGCACAGCCTGTGACTTGGGTGGCTGCCTCATGGAAGTTCGCTGACTCAGTGAGTAGAGTGAGCATCTTGAACAGGTAAAACTGCTCCCTCCTTGGCTGTGAAGAGCGTGTGAAGAAGGACTAGCCCGACAGCGGAATCTGTCAGCCTCTGCCTCAGGCTCCCCTGTGGATGCTGGCTCCTCGTTCTCACTGCCAAAGCATACCCAGTTCAAACCTCCAGGTTGTAGAACCTGGGAATCTACACAGGTAACAGGCATCCTGGGCTGTTCTCATGACACTGAAGTCTGGGAACTACTGCCATGTATATACGCAATGACCACGTTGCAGAAACAAACAAACATAGGGCTTAATGAACTGAAGAATCATGAGCTGTACCTGTGTCCCCTGGGAAAGTGCCTTTGTCTTGGTGGACTTGGCGGGGAGGTAGAGTTGAGGTCTGCTTGGTTTAACACTTCCTTAATTGCTGGTTTGTCACTGAACACTGGCAGTTAGCGAGTTGTCAGATATTCCTTTAGCACATTCTGGCACACACAGAACCCTGCAAGTTTCTCTCGAAGGCACCAAACTGATCCAGTCCCAAACCACGTGCCTTAATTAAAAGCTGCCACTTCCGTGGAATGCTGGCCAGGGACCAGACAGCTTTGATTTCAATCCCAGATCTGCCATTTGCCAGCTCTGAGACTTTGGGCAAGTGTATTCTCTCTACACCTGTTTCCTTACGTGTTACATGGAGATGGTACCTACTTGGAGGATGGTTGTGAGGAATAAATGGAATAATATCATACTACTGACTCACTTACCAGAGTGCCCAGCACGTCAGAAGCCCTCAGTGGAGACCAGCTGTCGACACTGCTTTGGGGGAAATGAGTTCTAGTAAAGGCTCTTAGCTGTTGGTGTGTTGTGGTCACTGAGCTGGGTGCTCCCAGGATTTCCAACTGCTGCTAAGGGAAAGTGGCCTGTCCCCAGGCATCTGCTTTTGTCACTGGGAACTGAAGTGCTGTTCTTAGATGAGCGCTTGTGAT